CTCTCTCTCTTCTCTCTCTCTCTCTCTCTCTCTCTCTCTCTCTCTCTCTCTCTCTCTCTCTCTCTCAAGTTATTTCTTTTCAGGGCGTCATTCATCAATCGCGCGCTTCGTATCATTTGCGGTTTTTCGTTCACGCGAACACTTCGTGACAGCCCTTTAGTCACTTACGCAAAATAAGTCTAAGCGTGATCGTGCGACTTGCTGTGTCTCCGACAAAATCGGCACCTGTCTGCAAAAAAAGAACACTATGTTTCATTTAATTAACGCGATGACTCTCCCCGCATGTGTGGTGTGTCACATTCGACATACCATAGCACTGGGACCGTTGCTGCGTCTCTAGTTAATGTTAATTAAATCCCCCAGACTTACCGACTCGCTGCCCTGAAACGTTTTTTTAATTGCCGTCGTTAATCAATCGTGAATAAATACACAAGTGAACAGTTAATTATCGATATATTCATACGTGAATGATATCATAAATAAGTTAAATAGTTCTCGTGTCATACATACGCGTTATCTATTATAGACTATGCATATATCATTATATATATATGTATATACGCTCGCGCGCGCGGTTACTAAAGTGTTACGCTTGCATATCACTTTCGTTGATCCGTTAATTGCCACTCCACATGATCGCGTGATGCGTTTCTGGCCGTCGGACGCGTTCAATGTACCTCTTTCCCGTCGCGTCTCAGCTGCACCTTTGAATATCGAGGTCATTACGCGAGTCTTTAAATTAATTAACTTTAATGCTTTGGGAGTATATTCTCCCTTTTCCTCTCTCCTCCTTTTCTCTTTTCTACCGTTCTATCCAGCGCGCGAGTGCGAGCGCAAAATACTCTCGGTGGATTCGTTTTCAGCGAAAGAGTTGACGATTAAACGCGACCGCGCGCGCTTGACACTTCTCGACGATCATCCGACGCGTGGCGTTAAACGGGTCGTATTGATCCCGATAACTGACTCCGTGCGAAATGCAACGCTCGCGCGCGGATAACCACTCGCTCGCGTGTTTACGCGCTTCGCGTGTGTCATCGCGATGCGGCTGGTAACAAAGTGACGAAAGTAATAGAATATATTTTAGATTCTCTCTGTGTATTCTCCCTATCTCTCTCTCTCTCTCTCTCTCTCTCTCTCTCTCTCTCTCTCTCTCTTTCTCTCTCTCTCGTCTTTCTCGACCGAGTGTCATTCCTCTTCGCTCTTTGCGCGCTGTCAGTTTTGATCGACTTGAACCGTGAACTGAATTAAAATCACGCATCATTTTAACGACTGCAATTTACTGTAAATCAGAAAAATACATTTCGTATGAATTTCACGCGCTCGTGTATGAGTGTGTCGTATTTTTCTATTGCAACGGTGGATAAACACCGGCGTCCTGATTCTCAAGGTGTTAATTGCATTTTGCCGCGTAAACAGTTCCGAGTAAGGTGCGTATAATGAGTATCGGTGATTCCGGTGCAAATAACATGTTTGCGTCCAGCGCAACGGCGTCTCAATCGCGACCGGATCGTGCAAAAGGGCCGGGGCGCGCGCGTTTTACCGCTCAATTCCGTTCCGTTTCGTCCCATATCGGTAGCGACGGCGATGGCGATGGTGGCCTTTCCTGCTTGCGCTCGCAAAATTGCCAAAACGTGCATGCGTGCGTGCGTGCGTGCGTGCGTGCGTGCGTGCGTGCGTGCGTGCGTGTTCGCTACCTGGCTGTCTGGCTGCTTGTCCGTTTGCCTGCCTGCCTACCTCCGTCTACTCGTGTGAGTCGCGAAACTCTTTCGCGTGCACCGCGTTTCGCGGAGAATTCGTGGGGACTCGCGTTTTCGTACGACGGAGAAAGCGACGTGCGCGGTGAAGAAGCTCGATCTTTGACAGGTGAATTTTACGCGACCCCAACGCCCGTCGGGATTGCGAAATATTATTGACGGGACATGATGAATATTCTGTTGGGCGCGACTCTATGTGCGTCGCGAAGAGTTAGAGGGAGAAAGAGAGAGAAGACAGACAGAGAGAAAGAGAGACGAGTCAGATAGGAACTTTGAATCTCGTCGTGAATGACGACACGTATCGAGAATTCA